TTTTTTTCAGCGTCGGTTTTATTCTTTGGATTGACGTAATTACATTTCTGCCATTTTGTTATCTTTTTGCTGATTTCGTGCTGTATATAAATCATCTCCCACGACATGTCTCGGGATAACTCCTCCCAACCTTCAAAATATGCCGATAGGCGCTCAGTGAACTGCTTCACGGTGCTGGTTATCGTGTGGTGCGCACTCGCCGTAGTCATCTGCAGCCCAACCAGCGTCTTCCGCGGCGAATTCACAAAGAAAAAGCCGTCCACCAGCGGAAAGTTTTCAACCGCCGGTAGGTACAGCACCCCGTACTCCATCGGAATCCTCGTGACACCGCCTTCCAGTTCCTTTAATCCAACGGTGCGCGTGGGGTACCCTTGATGGTTTAACTTCAGCACTGAATCCTGTGGTTTGGAAGGCGATGGTGGCGGCAGCTCCTTGAGTCCCTCTAATATTGCAATGACAAGCTCCCCATACATGAAGGCGCGCAAACCTAATTGTTCCAGAGCTCGGGAAGCAAGAGCACCACGCGATCCCAATATTAGCAACAAAATATCCTTCGTAGCCATTTTCTTTGCCAAACGGTCCGCAAGTCGAAGCCCGACATCAGCACTTATTGATGCGTTGAGAAATACCTCAACACCTTTTTTTGTTCTTGCCCGGACAATCTTCACGAGCTTGTGAGACGGATTCTTGGAATACCATTCTTTCTCTTCTCCCAGGGTAAAGTACTCTCCAACATCAATATCCTTGATTGCTACCAAAGCAGCATTAACGGCACCCAAGCGAATAATATATTTATCCTCATCAAAGACGTGGCGTGGAATCGGCCCCACTTTCTTCATGCGTTTTTTGACCTTCTTCCAGTATCCCGCTTGCTCATCTTTATCCAGACCTCGCTTCATCCATGTACACATCGCCTTCACATCCATCTCGTCGGGGCAATTCATTACGATTCGACTGGCTCCTGCTTGCTTCTCCCACTCATCATAGTTGGTTAACTTTGGCGATGACACCACAATCATGCCCCATCCGGTGGAGGGCGCAAAACCTGTGTCGGGCGGTGTTCCTTTCTTTGCCACGTCGTAGATAATATACCCTTTCATCCCACACTGCCACAAACCACCCAAAACAACGATGGATATTTCACTACCCACGTATTTTGACACGGTTTTGGCGGTCTTGTCAAACACGTACATCACACTTCCAAAACAGTGGGCAACCACCTGGATTTTTTCCACATCGTAGTGCAGCAGCTGGTAAAGGAGGTACGAGCCGGCATTCATCGACTTCCCGATCCCGGGCGTCCCAATCAACACACGCGGCAAAGGTGAAGGATTGAGAGTCAAATGAAAAGTGCTGAACCACTTAGTTAGATCGCCCTTGACGATCTGCCACGCTCGCTCCACCTCGCAGTTAACACACAAGTCATTACCAGTCCCATGCAGCAAATTCATCGTGTACGGCCATCCCTTGTCCGAGGTGAGCACCATCAGCACGGGAGGTGCTTCACCGGATTGCTCCACACCGTCATCCTTTTCGAGGGTGTTGCCATCTTCCTTGTACGTCCATGACTGCGGTGGTTCCCCCTCCTTCACCTCCATTCCGGTCCCCTCGCCACCAGGAATTTCCACCACATGATGCCAACTCGCATTGTACACAGACTCGTACAATCCCTCCAGTTTCATCGCTGCACTCGTCGTCGTTATGATCCTCGCCACCTCAAAGGCTGCATCCAATGAGTTTTTAGTGTTGCCGCGAACACTTGCTTTTACCCCCTCAGCAGCTCTTGACCATCCAAATAGACTGTCCACACCCCCGTGATGAAGCTTGCGTACATCTTCTTCCAAATCCATTTCCTCCCGTACAGTGCTCTCCAAACTCAGATAATAACCTTTTTTCTGTACTTCGACCAATACTCTCGCATCAGGGATATACCTCGTGGGATCACTGAAAAAATCCCTCAGTAATACATTCCGATTGGCGTGCAAAATGCCTCTGCCTTCCATTTCCAGCGTAAGAAAATCATTCAGCTTTATGTCCATGAAGCGAACTCTTCCTTTAAATAGCACACCTCTGATCGTAGTAGTTAGGGTAAATCCTACATGTTCCTCACGCACTGCCCTTTCTTCCGCCTCAAGCCGTTCTTCTCTCAGTACCTGAATGAGAACTCCGTTTAGTTTTTCACATACAAGTAGAGTGACCGTGTCCTTTCCTTCATAGTCCTTCCATTGCTCGAGAAAGTGCACACCCTCGTGATTAAGCTTATTAATAGCCTCCAGCACTTGGTATGACGGCAATGCCTTTATTGTGCTTAATAACCTTTTCTTTTTGATAAACGTCTCGGGATCCTGAACAAACGCCTCCATAGCGACGTTCCCATTTCTTTCCACAACCCACTCCTCGCCCAAGTAGCTCCGAATGAATTCATTCAGCTTCATGTCGGCCATGTTAGTGCCCCCCTTCAGCAGAATGTCCTCTACAGTGCTTCTCATGGTCCACTGTGGTCGCCGCGCCTCCTCCACTCTTATGTGTGTCGCAGCGGGTTGATCCGTGTCGCCCTCAAATTCCGACCTCGCTCTCCTCCGACGATCTCCCTGTGGCACGGCAGACGCTCGACTCTTGGCATTGCCACCTTGCACTCTATTGCGCTTTGGAGGCATTGTTTCTCCTTGTTTTCTTAGTTGGATTAAGTTAAAGCTGAATACTGACCAACAAACAAGAGAGGAATAAGAAAGAAAAATAGTCACAGTCATGACTCACAGCCAAAACAAGAGACTCACCCACACAGTGTGACGGCACAGTATTCGATAAAAACCACATGCACGGAGACCACCACAACGATATGTGGATGCCATTCACCCAGCACAGTGTTGGTGAGAGACAACAACAACAACGTGGTGCGCACGGAGGGTTCGTCCACGCATTCCGCTCGCCACGGTCTCGCACCC